AAGAACATGACTATGCAGTGTGGCCTTGCTTGTTACTGGAAACATTTAGCGTCCTCTGCAGGGAACTGGTTAAATTGGTGATGACAGTCATACAGGGAACGTTCTGCATCCGTGAAGAAGATGTGACCTAATCTCCAAGATCTATGGTGAGTACAGGTAGCAAGGAGGCTGCAGAACCAGCTCTGCAGCGAGGCCGGTTGTAAGAGGGAGGTAAAGGCATACATTTGCAAGTGTTTGTATTTATCTAAGAAAATACAGGAACGACGTGAACAAACTTAAACAGGAGGGTATGGAATTTTTAAACCATGTGAACTAGCACCTGTTCAAAAAAAGTAATAGTAAATTAAAAAACAAAAATAAATGATAACCAGGTTGGCATCTCTGCCCAGCACTTTGGAAGACCATCAATCCCACGGGGGAGAGGGTTTAAGGTGAGAGGTCCATCAGGGGAGGGACGTTAGGTCTCCCTGCCGGAAAACTGATGTTTGAATACAAAGTGGCTTTCCGAGAAAGAAACAATTATGGAAACATTAAGAGAGCTATTTTCCATAAATAAGTTTCCCCCTTTAATTAGAGATTATGGAACTTTTAGATGATAAATTTAGATGATTAATTGTTGACAGAGGTTCTTAGCCAGGCATTTATGACTCAGATGCTTAGAAGGACCATGCAACTGGAAGACTCTCTGGTTGCCGCACTACTAGATCCTCTCAGCCTCACGAAGCCAAGGCCGAGGCCTCTGGGCTGCCTCTGGCTCCTGCCATGACCTCCCTGCATAGATGACTGGATCCGCTGTGTGTGCAGGACTGGGGGTGACCCCTGGGTCCCCTGCCCCAGGCTCACTGCCCTCCTTCTTCCCAGCCTGGGCTTCAGCCGCTCAGAAGACGTGAAAAGACTTTAAAAGAGGTTATCTGGTGGGGGGTGACCCCCAAGGTATTGGGGTTCCCCCATCATGCTGTTTTCTCTGCCCTGAGGCTTGCTCCTCCCCTCAGCCAAGTCCTCCAGCTCTTCCAAGGCTCCTTCCACCTGACACATCCTGACCTCCTGCGGCGTTCCCACAGCTGGCTGCTGTGACAGCGATCTTTGTGAGGGCAGGAACTGTGTTTCTCAGCCCAGTGGGCCAGCACAGATGTCACTTAAATAAAGAGTCCAAATATCAAGTGGCCCTGGCATTTCTGGACTTGAAAGAGACTGGTGCTCAATACTTTCCTCAGTTAGATTCCAACCCCACAGTCACCAAGTGCCAAAAGCCAGGGGAACAGGGCTTTCGCACCAATTTATCTCATTGAATTCCCTTAACAACCATACAGAGGCAGATGTCAGCATCTCAGCTTTACTGGGAAGGAAGCAAGGAGGGATGAGGCTGGGGCCAGCCCGGGGAGGAGACGCCAGGCGCAGCCTGGAGGGGTGGACTCTGCACCAGCGCCTGGGGCTCCCCCGCGACCTGTGAGTGATGCCCCCTCCAAGGGTTTCAGTCCCGCCCACATGGAAAAGTTGCATGAAACGCACATTTTATAAGACAATCGTTTTGAATGCAGGACATATTATCAGAACCCTAGACTCCCTCCATTCCTGCCATAGCCAATAACTAGAGGCTATAATATTGTGACATTGAGGCTATGATATTGTGAAACATATTTTTTCATCCTGGTCCTTGGCTCCTGGCCAGAGCTTGTAAAAATGTGTCATCTTCTAAAGTGGTAAAAGTGCTCAGAGCATCTTTTAACCTAACAGTTGGTCACTAACCCAGGTTCCTGACACAGAGCTCCTAAATTCCTTGGAATTTCCTGGGTGATAGGAGCATCTTTTGTTCTAATGAGGGGACCCTTGGTGGGCTCTGGGATGGCTTCAGGATGGGGGCTGGTCACCAGAAAGATCAAGCCGTAATTAGAAGCTTAGAACTTTCAGCCCTGCCCCCGATCCTTCGGGAAGAGCAGAGGAGCTAGAGATTCAGTCAATAATCAATCATGGAACGTGACTGAGTCCCCATAAACATCCTTGAACCTGAGAGTTTGGGGAGCTTCTGTGTTGGTGAACACACAGAGCTATTGGGAAGCTGGTGCACCACCCGCCTTCCTCTGCTGGGACCTTCCAAGTTCATGGACTCAAATGCCAACAGAGGCAGGGCAGAGAGGGTACACCACCTGCTCACATGGCCACCGGCTCTCTGCCCAGCTGCTGGTGCCCATGGGGAATGCAGAATGTGTTGCCATTTGTCAAAAGAAACTGGAAATCTCCATTTTTACGTAAAACCTTTCTATGCTAAATACAACCAACCTATTGAAAAATCCCCCTCATGCCAAATTTTTGTGTTTAAACTGCACAAGTCAAAACAAATCATGCTTGCAGACCCAGAACAGCCCAGCTTGTGAAGGGTCTGAGCACCCTCCATGGTAGGCTGGCTGCAAGGGCTGGACACTGACAGAGGGCTGTCCTTGGTCATTTTTCAATTTTAATGTATTTTTTTAAATGGAGGTACTGGGGATTGAACCCAGGACCTCATGCATGCTAAGCATGCACTCTACCACTGAACTGTACCCACTCATCCACCCCTATCCTTGGTCATTAACCCCAACCGTAGTTGGACTCTCCCTCCTTTATGCCAATACCTCGAGCTTGTTCCCAGGAGGCCTGGGCCAGGGCTGTGATGGGAACGCGGATACGAGGTGGGTCATACAAGAGCTGGCCTCCCTCCTCGCCCTGGCTCACTGCTCCTGTTCCTCCCACAAGCCGGATGAAGCTCATGCCTCGAAGCCTTTCTTGGAAGCTCACCTGAGTCACTGAGTTCAGAAGTCACCTTCTCCGCGAGGCCAACCCAGACCCTTCTATTTTGAAGAGCAAAGTACAAACTCGGTCCCACATCCTGACTCCTTCACCGCTGTTTCTGTCAGTGCGCTCTCACCCAACACTTTGTGAAACGCAGGGAGAGGGCCGCACATGAGCCAGGGCGTGCCTGAGGCCACCGGAAGCTGGGCGAGGCAGGGCAGCCTGTCACAGTCCCTCAGTGCTTTGGTCTTGGGCTTCTAGCCTCAAAACTGGGAGAGAATAAATGTCTGCTGTTTAAGCTGCCCTGTCTGTGGGACTTTTTAACAGAAGCCCTAGGAAAGGGATACAGATTTTGGGGGGGGTCACTGGATGATGGAGGTGTGTCCTGCTCCAGAATGGAATGGGGGCTGTGAGGGGGTCTGGGGCCTGAGGAAAAGGGCTCAGGAGGAGCCTGGAACACCGGCTCCCTCGCTGTTCCCCGGCTCGGCTGGGTCTGGGAGCCTGTTTAGTCTCCTTTTAGGTTAACCCCAGGCCTCAAAGGGCCACACTGCTGCAGAAGGGCTGGTCGGGACACAAAGACGCAGCCACCTGCCCACTGCCCCAGGACCCTTCCCACCCTCCTCCCTCTTCTCCCCACCCTCTTGACAACTGGCTCAGCATCTGTGCTCACTGTTTCACGTGACCCCAGCCTGGCCTGATCGGCTTCCCCAGCCTGGTCAGGGACGTGTCTTACTCCAGATTAGCCCACTTCTGCGCCCGGGGCCCCTCAGGCCAGCCATCTGTGCCAGCACATCCAAGACGTCAGACAACCTCCCTTCCCCCCGACAGATCTGCAGGGAGGGGCAAAGGCTCAGAGGCGATAACTAAGGTAGTCCCCCACAGCAACTCACAAAACCTCCTTAGGCATACTCCATCTGACCTCACGGTGCACTGGCAATTTCTGGGGGAAGTTAAAACACAGCAGACCTCTGACTTCTCCTGAGCAACTGGGAATTCTGGCCATGCTGGACTCGAGTCTCCCACATGATAACCACTGAGAGCGCCGTCTCCGTGCCCAGGCTCCATCACTTCCCGCGGCCTCACCACAGCAGGTGGAGTGATTCCACAACTTGCTCAGTCCCACAGGCACTTGAGTCTTTGATCTTTACCTCATTTGGCTCCTTATAAGCTGAACTCATCCAAGAAGACCAGGAAGTCTGGTGCTGGGGAGGGGCTCGCCCACGACGCCTGAGGCAGCAGAGCCTCCTCCCTGCGCAACTCCTGGGGGAGACATTGCCAGCGAGGGCACTTGTGGATGGCCGCCCCGTGGAGTTGTGCCAGCAGGTACTGAGCCACCAGGATACGGCGGGCGTCTGCTCTTGCCCACCAAGACTCCTACAGCCTCGCTTGGGGATGGGCACAGAGCAGACTTGGGTTTCCTGAATGAAACAAAGTGTAGAAAACACAGGCCTGATGCTGCCCTGAAGCCAAGGTACCATCAACTCCACCTCTCCCTTCTGAACAACCTCTTCAAAGTCACTAGCCCCGTAGGAGTCCTCAAAGCCTAGTCTCGGACTGGGCACCCACCGCGCAAGATCAGCAGAGCAGTATTCAGTCCCAAGACCCCTGATCAAGGTCCCCATAGGACGTGGCTCTCTGGGATGTGCAGTTGCCGTCTGACCGGGCACCTAAGCCTGCTTCTCCTGCTCTAAATAGGATGAGTATAGGGCAGTGGGAGCATTAAATGAACTACCTTTTGCAAAGCACTTAGTATGTCTGGTCCAGAGCAAGCAGTGAAAAAGCTTAGAGATCATCACTCCTCAGTAAGAACTGCCAATAGCAATGGGCTCGGGAAGCGAGTCCCTTACCTGTGGCCACCTGCGTGGTCCCTCTCTGCAGGAGGAGAGCCCCGCACTCCTCTCCCACGTGACTGTTATTCGTCAGGAACCTGAGGGAGACAGAAGGAAGCTGGGTGCCTTTGGGCAGGAGATGAAAGGAGAGGAGGGCAGGGAAGGGGACGCCGCCCCTCAAAGGACACGGACCAGTATAGATGGGGATATTCACATCAGTGGTGTGTATGTGTGTGTGTGTGTAGCAGGGCAGAGAGCATGTGGAGGGATGGGGTGAAGGGCGTGGCTCCAGAGAGGGAAGAATGAAGGAAGGTAAAGTCCCAGCTGGGGCATCTGAGGAGCCCCAGGAGGCCTGCCGCCAGGGGAGCGCAGAGAAAAACAGGCTTGGTGTGGATTTGTAAGTAGGAGACGGAAGCTTCCTCCGTGGGGATTTCCCCCCTCAGTGTCCCCAGCTCCCCCAGGCCTCCGACCCCACCCGTCTCACCCGCCAGCACCCACCCCTGCAGCATCGCCTCCTGGCTGACCACTTTTGAGGGCTTCTTGGAGGCCTCCACCTGCAGCGTGTGCTCTATGTTTCTCCGCTTGTAGGTCAGCAAGTTCTCTACTTCCTGAGGATTCGTGGGTTCTGCTGGGTGGGCAGGGCGCCCGGCTGCAAAGGGGCCCAGTCCCACCCCCAGCCCCACCCTCCACCCTCAGCTGCACCCCTCTTAGCCCACGATGCATTCTGACCCAGTGAGGGATCGGGCCCTGCTAGCTAGCCCTGTGATCCGGAGCAAGTTGTCTGCCTCAGCCACACCCAGCCCAGCCCTGTCTGTGGCCGGAGACAGCTAGTGGGATCAGGATGGATGACGGAGGGGAAAGGAAATCTCCGTCAACTGCCCAGCGCTTGACCAAGGTGCACTATTAGGGTCCATAAGTCACGGACCATCCAGGGTTGGCAATGCCATCTGTTTTAATTAACGCTATCAGTCCACATGGTGGAGAGGAGATGGCAGAGGGGGAACAGTTCCAGGGTTCCAGTGCACCCATTTCCACCCCAGCTCACTCTGGGAACGACCTGGCCCTATCCACAGCCCACTGCCTGGAGCAGCAATGTGAAGTCACGCTCCCACCCATCCTCCAGGGAACGCAGGACATGGAGGACCAAACACTCACCAGAGCCCCCAGGAGGAAGCCCCCAGGAGCACTGTGTCTATGAACTCAGTGGATGACACTGATAAAGAAGGGAGACCGTGGCCACCGCAGTCTCAGATCCCCGCAGTAACCCACGACTCTCCATTCACACAGTGTGCATTTATTGAGCACTTACTATGTGCCAGGACTGGGCACGTGGTGGTAAAGAGATAGCCATGGTTCTTGCCTGTATGCAATTTGTGGTCATTTTATGGACAAGAAAACTGAAACTGATGAAGAAGCTGTGAGAGACCGAGCCCTTGGGAACAGAATGATGGGCTGACAGAGCTGGAAGGCACTTCCTGAGTCCTCCAGTCCAACCTCCTACATTTACAGGTGAGCAAACTGAGGCCCAGAGAGGAGAGGTGACCTGCCTAGGGTCACACAGCAGATAAACAGCAGAGCCAGGACTCAGATGCAGAGACAGCACTGGTGGTTGTCATGGGTGGTGGTGGAGGGAGGGGTCAGCACTCCTCACACTAGACCACACTCAGGCCTACTGTGTGCAGTTGTGCAGTGCGTGCACAGCTCAAAGGCACTTGTCTGAGAACAAGTGCAGTGCCTATCAAACTGTGCGCCCCCAGAGCTTCCTCAGCCCACTGCTCTTACCCTCTCCCATCCCTGCCACTTCATGATCAAAGCCAGGGCACTCTGCAGATCCCAGGCCACACACAGGGTTTCCAAGGATAACAAAGGTCCCTGCACCCCTTTGCTGCCCACTCCTAGGGTACAAACAGCATAACCCTGTCCTCTGTGGGGGGTCCCCGAGCCCCCTTATCTACCCTCTGCTACCTCCTCCCGCCTCCCTGGTATCCACTACCTGGGACCTGGGTCTCCCCTAGTGACAGCATGCATGGAAACCCCCTTCTTACATTAATGTCCAGAAAAAATGGTGTGGCGTCCAGCAAGATAAGTTTATCCACCATCTCAGGGAAGACACAGGAAAACTATGATGTGGCACAAGAAGGGAAGAATGACTAGAAGAGGAAGAAGGAAATGGGGTGCAGACTTTTCCCTGGGGACACTAGTGTTTCAGGCTAGGGGGAGGGTGCTGGCCGGTAAGAATCTCCTATCCCTTTAGGGCACCTTCCTCTCCCCTCCCCCGACAGTCCACACCCAGCACCAATTTATGTGTGATGGCTGGACTCCAGGACTCTCTGTGACAGAAGGGATGGGCAATGTCGAAACACTTCGACATCAGGAACCTCCCTGCAATAATGGTTACCATGGGATCCACAAAGCACGCTGGCACCACCCCCGAAAACGCTGGCCTGAAACTCCTGCTATGAGGAGGCACTTCTCTTTCCAGGTAAACTCACCTTCCTCGTCCTGCTCTCCCCACCCCACCGGGAGCAGTGGCCAGTGGTGTCACTGCAAAGCAATCTACTTACCATTCCACCCACAAGGCCACCTGGGGGACAAAAGAATAGTCAGTCGATATTCCCCAGCTCTCAAAACCCTACTAAAACTCCTTCCCAGGGGGCTGACCCACCCCCAAGTCCAGGGCCTGGCTCCTGTCCCCACCATTACACTTGAGGCTCCCTCCCTAGGGCCAGGTGGCCCCCGGATCAGACCTGACCATTCAAAAGGCCATGCTTTCCTTGTCACATTGGGAGAGGGCCTAAGGCGAAAGGGCCCAAAGGTCAGTGTCTAGTGGACCCCCTCGTCTCTCCTTACGGTGCAGGGGAAAGGCACCGTGTACCCACTCCTTTCCCTTCCTTGCAGCCCCACCACCTGGGACCAGTTTGGTCCTGGACAAAGTGTACTCACCAAAACTGTGGCCTATGAGGGAAAAACGGCTCCATTTCAGGGCTGAAAGCACAGGGAGCCAGGTCTTGATGGGCCCAGACTCCCTCTGCCCTCCATCCTGCAATCCCTGTGCTCTGGAAATCCCTCCCCAGCCTCTGGGATGCCCCACTCAGGACACCAGCTTAGTGGGGGCCCAGCTCCACTGCCCCGATAGAACCCACAGGAGGAAGCGAGCTCTTCTTGGCAGCTTTCTCCAGCTTTCCCAAAGTCACCTAAGAATTGCTGGCAAAACTGGGGCCAGACCCCAAGTCACTCCCAAGCCAGCATTGCCTCCTGGCCACCACACCCCACTCCAAGGATGAGGGGACATCCCAGGGCACCCTACCCCTGGCCCCTAGCATGCGCTTGCACATACATACACAAAAACATACGCACTCCATCTCTTACTCACCTGCCACCACCCTTCGGACCTCATTCACAAAGTTTTGGTGGTAATATGGGAGACCTGGGCTGTAATGGGACGAGAGCCCATGACCCCCGAAATCCATGGCAACATAATGAAAGTCTGAGACAGAGGTAAAGGGTAGAGGAAGGCGTCTAGGTCAGCCGTCTCCCCCTCCTCATTCTCCTGCAGTCCCGCTGCCTCACCCCTTGGCTTCCCTTCAGCCCCGGGCTCACCTTTCGAAAGACGAGGGATGAGTCTGTCAAAGGAGTTGGCATTGTCCAGCCAGCCGTGCAGGCAGAGAACTGGGAGGCCCTGCTGGGAGCCCCAGGCTTTGGCGGAGATATGGCCCCAAGGCATAGCTAGCTTCATCTCTGAGAACAGACCTGAAATAAAAAGTGACCATTCACCAAGTCGAAGCCGGCACTTCCTGAGCCCCTCCTCTGTGCCCCAATGTGTCCAGGGCATCAGCAGTACCCAGGGGGCTCAGATTCCCGTGCTGCCCCCAGGGGGTTATGGGGAGAGAGCCAGATGTGGGTGTGGGGATATTTGGAGAGAAAGGTAAATTGGTCCACTGGGTGAGGAAAACCTTGAGAAGGCTTTGTGGCAGAATTTTCTAGAATAGGTTGGGGGTTGGCTGGGCCTGGGCTCTACCACTTGCTGGCTGTGTGACCTTGAGCAAGTTAGTAAAACAAGTTCTCAGCCTCAGTTTCCTTTTCCGTAAAACTGCCGTAAACAGAGTAATAACAATGGCCAACATCGTCTAAGCCTTCACTGAGGGCCAGGTGGGGTGGTCCGTCACCCCACACCCTCAGTAAAATGGATCACTATCGCCCTCCCTCCGCAAACCCAGACGCTGAGGCACAGGGAGGTGCAGTCCGTGCCCAAGGTCACACAGGGAGAACAGGCAAAGCGAGGATTCAGGCCTCAGGCCGTGGCCCTGACCGCCTGGCACTACTTGTCCCTGTCCTGCTCGGGTCAGGGCTGCTTCCTCCACCGCTCAGTGCTAAACTTTCCACCCTGCAGGCCCTCCCACTGGGCCTGAGACCTGCGTGCCCCCAAACTCCCGGAGCTTGCTTCTCTAACTTCCGGGGCTCCCGGAATCCTGCGAGGCCACATGCAGCAGGTTCCCGGAGACCGCACCCTCCGGCCGGCCAGTGAGGCTCGGCATGCTCCCCAGGCTGCTGAAGGACTTGCTACAGCCAGGAGAGCGGCGCACCCCCCACCCCACAACCCCTCCGCGCTCCCAAGTAGGGAGCTGGGCGGGTGGAAGCGCACGCGAGGCCTCCCCATCCCACTAGGTCTAAGGGGCCCGGGACCAGGAATCTTCACCCATCGCTGCCTCCAGCAGTCTCCCGGCGGTTGTCACTCCGGTTAATCTCTCCAGGTCCTTACCCCATCTCTCCAGGTCCCGCCCCTCGCCCGCCGGCCCCGCCCCGGCCCCGCCCCCTGTCTCTCCGCGCGCCGCCGAAGTCTTCCTGGCAGCCGGCTGGGTCTCAGCCGCAGTGGAATCCGGTCCTCAGTTCTGGCCGGAAGGGACCTTCCGCTCTGGAGACTTGCACTAGGAAACCCCAGTACCCTCCCGGCGCAGGCTGTGAGCAGAACGTCCGGCGGCTGTGGCCAAAGGACCTCCCAAATCCCGGGCTACACAGGGGACGGTGACACGTGGGCGGCGGTACCCTGACCTTTGGACAGTCCCCATGGCCACCCCTGCCCCTGTGGGGGACCAGGAGATGGTGAAGGCCCAGGGAGCAGCCGCAGCGGGCAGGGCACCTGGTGAGTGTGGGATCCCTGGACATCTGTTCAGGTTCCCTCAGGCACCTGGCTGCTGCCCTTTGAATATAACAAAGAACATTCCTTTCGCGATAGGAAGGAAGCGGGCAGAGCACAGCCATTCAAGAAACAACAGCAATTAACATCAAGGCCCAAAATGGTGGGAGATTTGACTTCCAGACCTGGAGAACTTGAGCATCCTTATAGGCTCATTGTAATCTATTAACATGGTAAGTGGCTCTCCCACAGGCACCGAGATAGTACCGAAGCTGAACATAAAAGGTCAAAAAGTGGGCAGTGGCCCAGTTCCTGGGAGTCCGATCCCTTTCCCCAAAGTAGTTGGAATAATCCTCCCACTTGTGAGCATATAAAGTTACTGAGCCCATACAAACTAACAACCCCCCGCACCTTGTGGCCACTCTCCGTTCTAAGACAGATCGCACTCTGACTATGGGGTGTGTAACTACTTTTACTGTAAACTAAGCACCCAACCCTCACACCTTTCTTTCCTTTCTCTTGCTGTCTGAAACAGCCTGTACTCTATAGACTATGTATCTCTCTGTGGCCTGTTCTTGAATTCTTTCCTGCAAGAAGCCAAGGACCCACACTTGGTGGGGCATGTCCCAGGGACTCAACTGAGGCCTGAGTAAATGACAGGCCAGCCAAGAAACAAGCACCACTCACAGGGTTGGAGTACTCAGATTTATTACGCCGGCGGGCTCAGAGGGGCTTTTGTTTCGAAGCTCTGAGCACCTCCAAGACGCACACATGAGGTTTTATAGGGTTAATTACAAGTACGGGGCTATTAGCGAATAAGGCTCAAACAACAAAAAAGCAAGGGATCAGTACACTGAAGCTTATCAATTCGGAACAGATCACGTTACTGACACTTGTTGAGCTTGGATTTACATGTTAGCTTGTTAGCCCAGTAAACTGACACTAAACTTCAGATTTACGAGTTAGCCCAGCAGAACTCAGATCAGTAATCCGACACTTGTTACATTTAGATTTGTGACTTAGTTTGTTAGCCCAGCTGGGCTTTTTTTTTATATTTCCCCCTCTTGATGCTTTTACAACCCTTGTTGGAGTAAGCATCATCATTTACCTGTTGCAGGGGTTTATAATTGGAGGCTAACATCTAAAGTTTTATAGCCTCTATTTGCTCACTGACAAAACGGGTCAGGAAGTCTAGGACACAGGGCCCAAATAGCAGAACTGCAAAAATCAGGAGCAAGGGACCTATGAACGGTGCCAGCCAGGAGGTCCAGCCCCAGGGGCCTGTCTATGGGCTCTTATCTAAAATAAGTTTTTTTTTTACTCGGTCTTGTAACTCTTGAACCATTTTTTTGGACAATTCCTGATTGATTGGCATAAAAACAGCATTTTTTGTTTAGGAAGAGGCATAGTCCCCCCTCTTTGGCCGTGAGTAAGTCCAGACCCCTCCTGTTTTGTAAGACCACCTCAGCCAGAGAGTTAATCTGATTTTGCAGTTTTCAGGGTTTCTGTTATTTGTTGGAGATCGTGGCTGAATTTACCTGTAAGCTGATAATAGTAATAAGATGAAGAGGTGATGCCACTGATGCCTGCACCTACCCCTGTTGCCACTCCGAGCCCCACTAGCAAGGGGAATCAATTGTATAGCTTGTTTTATCTCCGTGGATGCTGGTGAGTTATGATAGGGATGGGCAGACTTTGAGTATTAGGTATAATGTCTATTTGGGGAGTGAGATAAGCCAAAGCACACAACCCTGTCCATCCGGCAGGGAGGCACCGGTAGGCAAATTTGTCACACACAAAATAAGTCCCATTATTAGAACACCATCCTTGTGTGGGTTGGCACCCTAGACCCACAGTGAGAGGTTTTAATACATTGATTTATAGTTAGATTAGATCCTCTAAAGGGTTAGTTCCATTGTTGAAATAATATTTTGGTGCCTTGTAGGCGAGCTGTACCCAGTTCAGCCTGGAATTCCTAGTGGTAGAAACGGCATCGCTATGAGTTGTGGTGAAAGTCTTAGTGAGGTTTGTCAGAGGTAAAGCCAGGTGCTGGATGGGGCCAGGACGCAAACATAGCCAGCAATCTTTAGCCAGGTCTGGATTGGAATGATTGAGAATCCCATAGACTGTGGCTAACAGCCCATTTATTTGTGGATTCAGATCCCGAGGCTCGGCTAAAGATGGAAGTTTTATTGGCTTTCGGGTAGGTAATAACTTTTGGTATTGCCTCTGGACTTTTTGTTGGACTGCTTGCCGGCGTCCCTGGTCCTGTACCCCTTCTCCATCACTCATCCCATAATGTGTTTGCTTGGTCCAGCACACCAGCTTGCCGGGTGTGCCATAGCATTTGATGTTAGATACATAATAAGCCTTAATTGTGTCAATCCAGTAGGATTTTTCCTGATATGTGTATCTGAAGTGGAGTCATAGCATTGACTCGGCTGATAAGTATAAACTGAAAATACAGGCCGGTACATGGACCACCTGTCACCCGGTTTCGTGCAGGTGCATTGTGCAGCCAAGGGGAGTGAGGGCATTAGCGTCAGTAGCATCAGCCTTATGATTATTTTAGACATGATGCTGCGGTGATGGCACTAATTGTAACAAGATATAAAATAGCTATTAGGATTTTATGGCCTATGTTTTAGTCAGGTGGGGCGACGCTAGCTAGCCCCACTGCTAGTACGCAGACTGGTATAGCAAATAAGGAAAGAGGCAAGGGAGCACTAAAGAAATACATTTAACAGCTGTGTTGAGCTTTTCTCAAGCTTTGGCCGTGTGTTGACTAGTCAGCTTCCGGGTGTGGCTAGAGCAGGGCTCGTAGATCCTTTTTCCGTCACTCTTGATCTTGATTTTGAGCGGGTCTCCCGGGACACTCTCAATTTTTTACGGACCCTCCATCTGAGGTGCAGTCGCTCTCTTGACCCTGGAGTGGTGGATTTAAGGTATGATTTCTGCAACTTTAACAGCTGTAGGAGTAGTTAATACCACTAAATATGGTCCCTTTTATGTTGGTTTGAGAGGTGTTTTTTTCCAATCCTTTACCCATACCTGGTCACTTGGTTTATGGGGATGCACTTGGACCCCTAATGAAATGGGTTTTTTTTTTAATCACCCAACCCCAAACTTCTCGTAGTACTTTTTCTAGTTCCAACAGTTGTTGGTGGAGCCCTAAATTTTCTATTTTTGGGGTGGGGTTTTTTTATCCAGACTAAAGGTGGCGGTCGCCCATAGAGGATTTTAAAGGGAGAGTACCCAATATTAAATCTTGGGGTGCATCTAATACGCAACAGAGCCAGGGGTAGAATGTCCACCCAGGGGAGCTGGGGTTTTTTGGCTGATTTTAGCTATCATTTGTTTTAGAGTTTTGTTTATTTGTTTTACCTTTCCTGAGCTTTGAGGCCGGTATGCTGTGTGCAGGTTTCAGTGGATGCTCAGTGTCTTTGTCACTTGCTGTACAATTTTTGCCACAAAGGCGGGTCCATTGTCAGACCCGATGGAGGCAGGCATTTTAAATCAAGGGATAACATCCCTGAGGAGAGACTTTGTCACTTCCCTTGCTTTTTCTGTCCTGGTGGGGTAGGCCTCTACCCACCCTGTGAAGGTGCAGATGAAACCAGCAGGTACTTATATCTCTTACTGGGTCCAAGTTCAGTAAAGTCCACTTTTAAATCTTCAAAGGGAGCCAATCTGCATCGTTGTATTTCCATTGGCCCAGTTAGCCCTTGTTTTGGCTTGTTTTGTGCACAGAGCAAGCAGCGTTGGGAAACTGATGCACACAGAGTAGGGAGACGAGAAGTTAGGAAATAACGCTTTAAGAGGGCCTCTAAAGCCGTTTTTCCCATATGTGTGGCTTTGTGTTGTTGTTGGACTAGACGATAAGCTAGTCGTTCTGGGATGAAAACCCTTCCATCCGTCATGATCCACCATCCGTCCTTTTTTTTTCCCTCGTTTAGCCTGTGCCCACTTGTTTTCGTCGTGGCTATATTTTGGGGCAGTGGGTAGCTGTGGTGCTGTCATAACTTTAATTACTGAGTGTTTCCAGGCGGCTGCTTTTCTTGTTTTTTGATCAGTTAGCCTGTTCCCCTGGCTCACAGGGTCATTTTTTTTTGGTGTCCCTTACAGTGAATAACGGCCACTTTCTTTGGATCCCATACTGTCTCCAGTAACTGTAAAATTTTTTTGTTTGTTTTTGATTTTTTTTTTCCCAGCAGTCAAAAGTCCTTTCTCCTTATAGATGGCTCCATGTACATGTAAGGTTGCAAATGCATATTTGGAATCGGTGTATATATTGACTCGTTTTTCTTTTCCTTTTTTTAGTGTCTGGACCAGTGTCCAGACCTCTGCTCGCTGAGCAGACCATCCTGGGGGAAGGGACTCTGCCTTTATTACCTCTCGGGTTGTTGTTACAGCGTAACCTGCTCGCCGTTGTCCGTCTTGCATGTAACTGCTGCCGTCTGTGAAAAGTTCCAGGTCTGGGTTTTGCAGGGGCTTGTCGGTTAGATCAGGCCTGCTTGCATACACCTCTTTGATGATTTTTTTTGCAGTCA